AAAAAAAAAAAAAAAGCAACCAAATTCAAAACCCCATTTTCAGCTGAAATTCCAGAAGAAAGACTTGCTCATTATCTTGTAGTAATTGAATATCTAAAGTCAATAAGAGCAGCCAAATTCAACCGTTAAAGATATTCAACATAAAAACACCAGATCTGAGTCCAAAACAAGCAGAAAACCAACCACAGCAAGCAAGCAATCAAGGGAAACCCAGAAAATACCAAAGCCAAGATGACACCTGAGGAGGAAAGGGAACAGAAGACGAAGAAAAAGATGATCTTGAAATGAAAGATGCTACCTTTGTTTCTCTCTAACGACTGAAGCAGCCAGCATGTAGAGATAGAGGAGAATGATTAAGAATGGTTCTGAAATCCAAAATTCGTCAGTGCTTTGATGCCTGACGCCAGAGACGAGAAAACGTAACAAATAAGGATCTCAGTTTGGTATTTTTTTATTTAATGATATTAAGTTTCTTAATGTTTAAGTAAACATATTAATTTTTTTTCTTTTGAACTTTTTGTCATGGGGCGGATTCGAAACCCACCTAGGGGAGGAGGATATGCACTTTTTCAATGACACTAGCCATTGGACCACAAGGGCAAGTGCAAGTAAACATATTAATTTTAAATTTCTTTTACTTAAAAGTATTAATTTTAAAAAAAAATTTGTCACATAATATCACTATTTAATTAATTTTAAATAAAAATATTAAAAATTAATATTTTTTAATAAAATAAAAAAATAAAATTAATCTATATATTTAAAAATTAATAAAATTAACTTTTTTAAATAAAAATATATAATTAACATATTTATTTACATCCTTTTTCCTTAATGCCCCTGTTTTGTGTGGTGTTTTTCCAACGTAAGCATGTAAAAATTAAAAGAGATAATTGGTGAAGATTTAAAGTGCCAAGTACGCAGTACCGTTGGTAAAACGACCATTTGGGTTCTGAAAAAATAAAGTTTAAGGCCGATTTGGGTGCTTTTTGAAATTAAAAGATGAACTAAGTTTAAAAATGAAAGTTTAGGGACCAAATTGGGTATTAAACCAATGAAATTCAATACCCATCAATCACATGCATTTGGCCCTGTTGTCATCAAACAGGGTGTAGGCTTGAAGCAGGAATTCACAAACAATTGAGCCAGTTTTAAAAGCCAAAAACAACTAAAACAGACATCAAAACAAATCCTAACAAGAACAACTACCATCCAGAACCAAATCCAAATTTTTGAATACAAATTTAAAGGCTACCGGTTATGATAAAAGCAGAGTTTAGTCTGAAACCCCATTAATACATAAAGTAAAAGAACACAATCAATTGAAGAGTAGCTTTTACTTGAGCAAGATAGAACAAAATTGCATTGGAAAATTAGAATCAAAACATTTCTAGCATCCAATAACTGCGAATAATATAAGGAAATGCAGTTGAATATTAAAAGGGCTAAAAAAAAATGAGACATCACCATAAGAAGAACATTCTTCTTTCTGATACTTCAACGGTAAGACTTCTGGAACCTAGCTCTGGCGCCACGACCACCAAACTTCTTGGGCTCGCACCGCCTGGGATCAGCGACGAGCAGAGTCCTATCGTACCTCACCAAGATGTCTTTAATCTCCTTCTTTTGCTGCTCATCCACAAACTTTTGGTAGTAGGCGACGAGAGCCTTGGCGATGCTCTGCCTGATCGCGTAGATCTGTGAGGTGTGCCCTCCACCTTTGAGGCGAATCCTCATGTCCACTCCGTTGAAGCGGTGACTTCCGAGGAGTAGGATTGGCTCAACGGCCTTGAATCGTAGGATCTCGGGCTCCACAAGCTCGATGGGGCAGCCATTGATCTTGATCAGTCCTTTCCCGCGCTTGCAGTAGGTGACGGCCACCGCCGTTTTCTTCCGTCCAAAGCACTGGACGGACTCCACAGCCGGTGAAGGTGCGGACATGGGGCTAGGACCGTGGGGCGTGAGGGGTTTGCGTGAGAGAGATTGTGCTGCGGCTAGGGGGAAGGCGAGATGACGAAAGGGCTGGGTTTATTAGGGTTTCATCAAGGGTTTTTTGTGGTGAACTGCCAATTTTAGTTTCGTAATTTGAAGATTTTACATAATTTTTATCATTTAATTTTTTTATGTACTTTCTAAGTTCCTCAAAAATTAAAAAATGTGATTTTTTTAGATTTTTTATTAATTAATCTATTAAATTTATTTAAATATGTACACTTTTAATTTCTTAATTTAAAATTAAGAGATAAAAAATATATATATTCTAAATTGATAAATTAAAAATATACATATTTAAACAAATTCAATAGATTTAGGAATAAAAAAAACAAAACAATATATATATTTTATCGTTAAGAGGTTAAAAAATATATATACTTCATAGTTAATAGATTAAAAATATAAATAAAAAATTAAGAAATGAAAATTTTATAAAATGTTAAAGTTGAGGCACAGATTTAACCTTTTATTTTTATTTTTTTAGGGGAATTTAAGTAGGCCCAAAATTTCTACTAAAACAAAATTATAATCTCTCTATTTCTTATTGTTACATTTTACTACCACTAGGAGCACGTGGACTGTTCCTTAGAAAATAATAAAAGTTAGACCACCTTTCTTTTTTCAAATCTTTCTCCTGAGTGCACTAACAATTACAATTAAGAATTTGTTATTTTACACTTCATGCTATGAAATACTTTTTTATACAATTAAATAACAACTCAGTGATAGTTTTTTTTAAGTAAAAGTAAAAGATGTTTCGTTTAACATTTCAACAATATGTCATGTAAGGACAAAGGTAACTAAAAAAATGAAATATGATTAATTGTTATCATGTAACTAAAAAATTAAAAAATATATATTAAAACAAACTTTTCTACTCTAAAAGTTAAGGAAGCCATTAGCCTTCTAAAAATATATTAAAAAAAAATTGTTAAAATTTGCCTCCCCCTCCAAAAATGCTATTCAAAAGTATTTTCTCTTGAAGTTACAATCACTACAAGAAAAATGATTTTTAGTGACAGAAATTTATGATAAATTTTGAAATCATCATTATAATTTATCACAATTGTGACAGATTTAAAAAATTAGTCACAGATGCATACATATTTAATGATGAACAAAAAAATTCATCATAAAAAATATATTTCGTCCTTAAAAATTGTTCATAGAGATAAAATAAGTTTTTGTCGATAAAAATTATCACTATAATGCATTACAATTATGACAAAATTCTAATATTGGTCACATATACCTTACACATTCAATGATGACCAAATAATTTATCACTAAAAAATATATTTCGTCACTAAAAACTGTCAATTTTCTCTAATCAATACATCCTATATCGATAAAAAACACATAAGAGAATAAGGTTTTGCACTATAAATATATCCCACATCGATATGAAATATTTAAGAAAATAAATTTTTGCACTATAAAACATTTGAAACAAAATAAAACTTGAGATTAGTTTGGGCCTGATTAATTTTAATCAGACTTGGTTAATTTTAATTGGGTTTGATTAATTTTAATCAAAATTGATTAGTATTGAAATAACAATATTTTTTATTAAACTTTTATGATAAATTTATATATTTTTTTTGACAAAATTTTTGTTAAAATATTTGTGTTAGAATTATATAAATATCTTTTTTATTTAATATCAATTTTAATAATTAATGACTAAATTTTACATCATAATTGCATTTGTGACGAATAAAATTGT